TGTTTTCGAGTTATTGCTATTTTTATGTTGAAATTTCAAATTGCTTTGCTTTCGAAATTTTTTTTGTCAAGATTTAAAGGAGAGACGGATTCTTTATGAATTATAATATAAAGTCAAATAAAAGATTGCTTTAGCACTACTCAAGACATTGGAGGTATGACGGTCCGCTTGGCAACCCTTGGCAGAGATCAGGACGCCACTTCATGACTCCTGTGGTAGTTTTATGGTAACACGAGTAAACAAAAAAATCGGCGTCGCGACGATTTAAAACGCCGAGCACGCTGTCGATTTTTTCGATTTCACGTAATAAATTTCACGGTCTCGCGCTTGATGCACACATAGCTGCAATAATTATCGTGCGCTTACTGTGCACGGTAATTACATCAGGACTGTGTAATTTTGCCTCATTCAAACGACTGAATCTACAACGATTCGGTTTTTCAATCGTTGTCGTTTTTATGCGAGCCGAACCCGCGATTCGCCGGGATTCGCGGGTGAAACGATCGCTCTCAGCGATGCGATGATTGAGTAAAAGTGCGCTCGATCGATACGCATTTTTTTGCATTCGCGTCTTACCCGAGAACTCGCTTTCGTTTCGCGGCTGCCCCACGTCACGATGTCAACGCTTATCAATCCAGGCCTTCGGTAGATCGGCCATCGACCGATCGCTGCGATCGCGCACGGCGATCGCTGTCTTCCGCTGACATTAGAAATTAGAAGGCAACGCTCTCGGATCATTGACACCTGTTTATTACGCGAAGGAGATGTCGCCGTTGGAAGATCTCTCTTTAGAGATTCATTCAGGCGACACTGATTTCCCTCTAACCGCGTTAGAATTGGAATCTTCTTTTTTTTTTATTAGGAAAAGGTAATTCTAGCTTATTCTCCGCTCCGCAGAAATTGCAGATGTGGTAGCGTCAATGTTTTTAGTAAACGGATTTCAATTTGTCAATGTGTGTCTGCTTGGTGGTAACGAGCATGGAAATTCGCGTTTGCGCGCCTCGTTACTTTTTTCCCCCCCTCCTTCTAAAGTACCATATCGCTATTTTCCCCAGATTAGACCAGATTAGCCAGATTTCTATAATGTATGCGCGATTAAATTTTAATTACCTGGCATTTGTGCGGCACGCTGGCGTAGAATCCGTCGTGCAAGCCGTCGCATTTGAAATCGATATCCTCGGGTATACTATTGTAAAACGGATAATCACTGAGATTGTAGCCGTTTAACTCGCGCGGTAGATTCGGATCCCATATATAATCGATCTGCGGAATTCCCGTCAAGGTGTGCCCGGTCGTCCCGTTGGTCTCGCTCGCGACTGTTGTCGTCTGAAACAAAATAAACATCACTACAGTCTCCTCGATTTTTTTCCCCGTAATCAACAACGGAAGGTTGTTTAAAAAGCTTAAAATTTCTACAAATAGACATGGCCGTGTCTGTCACGGATCTCATAAAATGGCTTTCATTTCCTGCGGGAAATGACAAAAGTCTTCGATTTCGACGTCGCTTTTGCTGTAATGACAGTTTCCGTATCGCGGACGGAAAAGCGCGTCCGATAGACCGGTATATTGTAGAAAAGTTATTTCACGCTTGGAGAAGCCGCTGCGTCGTGCCATAATGATTAGCGATGAGCACTCGAGTTCGGAGTGCTTGATGATGTCACATTCGCTTGTTTGCGCGCGCGAAGGTGAGCCCGCGCGCACGCAAATGCATTTACTCGAACGCCGCTTAATTAACATCGGTATAAATTAATCGTAGTGCCGCGACGCCTCCGCAGATGTAGATACGACGACGAGTCGCGGTGTTAAACCGGAATTTACGCGGCTCACGGGTTTAGTGCTGAAACACGATACCTATATACATTTGCCGTGTTATCACGGCGGTTAAAACCGCTACTTTGTTTCCCCGAGATGCATTATCGGCTAATTTATGTCGTATCGCGCTCGCGAGATTCTCTTTCTACGGGAAGAAGCGAATCAGCGAAAATAAGGACACGATGTTTGGTACACGATCGTCGTGACTGTGGAATCAGTTTTGCAACGATCGTGTTTCGCTTACGTTGTTGCCACCCGGGAATTCGTTACGTCGTGTTATTGTCGGAAAAAAGGGTGATGGTACAATTTTAAAACATTAATGATATAAAAATATAAATTTATAATTTTCAAACATTTTTTACAGCTTTCTAATTATTATTACAATATTACCGGGGCGAAGGGGGGGAGGGGAGGGGAGGGTTAAACATAGCGACTGTTAAGCGGCCCGTAATTACATCTGTATAATTTTCGTCCGATTTAGACGAGAAATCCTCACGACGTGTATTTTCTATGTGAAAAATTAAGTTCAATTAAAAAATTAACTCGATTACAATTACCTGTCGGTTCTAGATATGCAAGATTGATGACTTATTAAATTTGGAATCGTAATATCGGAATACTTATATATAAAATGGAATTATTGGATTGTCGAAGGTTATTAGAGAACGTTCAAGGGTTAATCATGCTGTTTTTGCAATCTGTGCCGAACGTGACGTTTCTTTTTACATACCTCCGAATTCGCTTGGTCATTTTCTTCCACGTGAGGCTCCTCGGTTGTGGTGGTGGTTGTAGTCGTTGTTGTTGTGGAGGTTGTCGCGATCTTAAATTTCGGCCTGGTCTTGAGCGCTGCGGAGACTGCGTGGGCCAATAGCATTCCTAAAACGCGCAGAGGAGTGATCTCATTGTGTTGTCAACGTAGGAAAATCTACTTGAAAATCACGAAATCAATGTCGCGAGACTCTCACGCACGTACAGAACAAATGTAGTTCAGCTTGCTCGGTTGGAGAGTATCGGACGGCCCCGATGAGTCGTATGATACATTAAGGAAAAAAGGCCATCACGCAGGCCATCCGCGGATTACGTAAATCGCGAAGAAGCGTCGGCGTTGCAAAACTTATACTAGGAGTGTAGTGAGAACCCGACATAAGTGTTGCAATTTTCTCTCGCCGAGCGAGCGCATTCGGTTGGGTAATTGTTCTTAAACGGATCAAGGCTGATCTATTGATCGTTTCCTTTCCACGTTTTGTTGATTTACGATCTACAACACATGAGCCGCACGTGTTATACGCGGTATGAGCTTGTGCTACACCGCATAAATCTTCAATTAATACCCGTCAGGGATATTTCGATTTTTTTTACTTTGTAGGTTTCCACATTTTACCTTTTTTTTTTTTTTCACTTTATTTTTGCCCAATTTTTTTTATTACGTCAAGTTTGTATTTTTAAAATGGACGAGAGGAAAGCGAAAAGCCGTGTCTACTTGTTATTAATGATTCCGCAAAAACCTTGCTACTGAATCACATCATTTGAAGTAGTCCAAGGCTGCTTCGAAAATTAGCAGCTGGGGAGATTAAGACGCGAGGTGTGAACAATTCGAAGAGTGAATCAAGGCGAGAATTGTTTTTCGTTTTTTTACTTAGAGACTTAGCTATCTTTATAGCCGATAATTCACGTTGCCGCGCTGAGAAAAAAAGAGAAAGGGGAAGATTATAATTAATATCAATACTGTTCTTCGCGTTTAATTAATCGATAAAATTTAGAATGAAAAGAAAAAATTGACAGCCAAGCACCCGACCATTAATATCTGGGATTTATAATCGTTGTTTTTACGATCGTCTCGTTTTACTCGTTCCCGTTATTTTCGATAGAATTCTCTTAGCGTGGTGCACGCGGAAAAACGTGTTCGCGCCTTCGTCGGAGGGCGATTAGGGTTGCGCGACAACGTGAACGTGCGGCTTATGGACCGGAAAGTGGATGTCCTCGAAGGCGATGTTGAAAATGCGCGTGTTGGGCCTGGCGATCGGTATAACGGGATTAAACTTTTCCAAGCTGTGCGATCGATAAAAAGCCGCGCGGGTCGGCGCTGCATAAAAAAGTATTATGGGAACGCGCTCGCATTCCGTTTGTGGGAAATGTTAACGTGGGCGTGCTCCCTCCCTGCAAACGTTGTGCGATAAATCGGTTTTCATGACGAAATCGTCGTCGCTACGGCTATTTCTATGCCGGTGTATAAACAAAATTGCTTCATTCAATTGTCTGTCGGCGACGCGTAGTCTCGATCGAATGGGAATGACCTGACATTTTCCTCCCTCGAAGGGCGTGACGGAGTCTTTTTTCACCTCGGCAACGATCCTCATTAAGGAACGATGACGCGACACGAAACGTTTTTCACAGCGTCCACGCTGATGCATGGTAATCGGAATTAATTATTTTCATTGCTGTTAACAAAGTGACTGATTATCGTAAAAATTTTCTCGCGATCGAGGGTCGAAATTACTTCGCGATTTTCAAGGCGCGAGGCGTTTTAAAGATCTCGGATCGAATGTTGCCCAATGGGCGAAAATGTCAGAAAACATTCTAAATGCTAGCGCACGTGTCACGTGACTGATATATCGCTCCAACGAGTGTTACAGATGGAGAACAGATTGATTTGAATTCACAGTTTGCAAACAGCCACGTTATCGGACTTGGGACTTTCTTCTTATCGGCGTTGAGTGACGTCGAGACTTGTATTCTGTTTGCCGACTATCTTTTCTGGAATTTTCGGACTCTCAAGATTACCCCTTTCGATGCTTCGCGACGAGACAAAGGATACCTTTTGTCATTCACAACAGGTCCCTCTTTCTTCGTGGAACTTTTCTGTAAAGCATTTTTGCGAATCGCACGCATAGCCATGAATACCAAATATTGATTTGACGTTTTTAAGAAATTAATCTCTCGTCTCTCGTATCTCGTTGATTCGATCGAAATCATTTTTTTGCTTTCAGCGCTCCTTAGTGATTTAAGTTCTTTATGAGCTTTTAATAAACATTAATGATTGTCAGCAAAGTATGAGAAAAAAGTTTATGATTTCTAATTGTTTTTCCTTTGATAAGCAAAATGGTATCGTTAATATCAAGTTTCATCTATGTTAATATCAGCAGATTAAGATAACTATAGGAGATAAGTCCTCATTGTATTGTTCTCCGTGTTTTATTCCGTTTGCTCGTCATGGAAGGTGGTTGCTGTTTTTGTATTGTACGCGAGGAATGGCGTTGAGAATCAATCTACGTGCGCGATGTAAAATTCCCGGGTGTAGAAGGTCGTCCACTGTCTCCTCGGCATTCCTCTGCGGCCGTGGAAAGTCCAAAAATACTAAGGACATTATGGAGGACCGCGAGATGGACAAGGGGAGAGATTCTTTCCTCCGCGGAGCGGTAAACAGGATTTCAAGAAATAGTAGAAATCGAGTAAAAGTCCCGCTGACAAGCTCCGTTTAGTATCGGGGAATCATGATCATCGAGAAACGAAGAATCATCAGATTCTATAGAAATTGTACTTACCGTACAGAGCGAGCAGCAGCAGCCATCGTTTCTCCCGCATGTTAGCACTGCAACAAAAAAATTAATTATGTAACCTTGTAAAAGAATAAATGTATTATTAACTTAATTTTAGGCAATTAAATTCTTTGACAAAATAAAACAAAAAATTGTATTACTTTTCTCAATTTTAGTGAAAAATTCCAACTCTAACTGTAACGTGTATAAGTAATTAATAATTTTCTTGAAATTATATAACATGCGTATGTACATACGATTATATTTAAATAATATAATTATAAAATTTATATCGAAATGTTTCTCCGATTTTACGCGACTTTTTTTTGTATTATCTCCGTCGTCGGTTTTTTCTTTTATTTGCATAAGACGACTCGCAGGAAAAAGAGACAATTTCTACAATTGTGAAATATCAGTCGAATTCCTCGGGGTGCCGAACGACAATCGTACGGCACTGCGCATCGGCGAGTATAATCAAAGCGGAGTGCCTTAGCACCGCGCGTAGAGAGACTGTAGAGGTGCTCGAGCATATGGGAACGGATTGGAACTTTCTCTGTGCTGTCACCACTGCTAACCATATAATGCAAGGATAATGCGGGTGTTATATAAATGCGCGATCACGTAATATCGGGTGTGACTTTGTAGTAGCGGTTGTGAATGTCTAATTATTCGAGTATACCGAGTGCTCCTCGAGCGCACACATCTACTACATTTGGAGGGCATTCGCGAGGGAATCACTCGGACGAGATTTTCGATGCGGTAATCCGCTGGTAACTTACGTTAGGCCATCACGCGAACGAAACTCACTACATTCTTGTAATAACATATCGGAGTTACGCTTTTTTTTTTTTTCTGGAAGTTGAAGCCGCGTCGAGCCGCGTTAAAATTTTTAGCTCTCCCGTATCACACTCATGTAGAAATCGTTACTTGTAAAGTTGCTTAATGAGATTTCAGCCAGAACACTTTGCTGCAAATTGCCACTTCGCAGATGTAACGGATGGCCTTGATTTTTCTGGAGTTTCGATCACCGTCGATAATTTACACTCCGTAATGGCATCGTGGCTCTTAAGATTTTACTCATTTTTTTTTTTCGTCCCGTCTCGTGGTGAAAGTAACCTTGCAACCTTCCAGTACCAAATTAGATTACCAATCGTGGACTCGGTGTAGTTATACGCCATGAACGTACTATGCTGGTCATATACTTGTTACGACTTGTACGGTTCAGCTATTAGTGAGGTTTGAGTCATCGAATCTAATAAGTTTTAGACTCGGCTCATTGACGAACATACGATGATAAAATCACCACTAGTCCAGTCCTCCATTAACACAAAGTAATCAATTACAGTGATCTAAACGAGACGTGCGACAGGATGCGTATTCGATTCCCGTCCCTCTCGTCCCCTAATTAAACGGAGATCCGGCACGTGATTTTCGAATGTAAATACACGCGATTCCTCTTGGTTTTCCGCACAGAAATATATGCTCGCATTAATTAAGCACACTATCGCGCTCCAGTTCCCAAATAGATTCTTATCGTTTCTGTAAAAGTAGGAAAGAAAGAGAGAGGATGCCTCCCGCACGCTGCAGCCTGCATACGAGTCTGCATTATTCAGTTACACAAGTTTTCGTAATTGTTCCTTTTGTTCGTGTCACAACGTACGAGGAACGAGTTCTCGAGGTAGCATGGAAAGTCTTCCCCAGATTATAGATTAGCTTCATCCGGAAGCTGCGCAAAGATCAGAGCCGCGCTAGATCGTAATGAAATTTGTGAATTTTTATTCAACATGGACGGGTTTCGGCAAACAAAAGATATTAGGCTCGCTGCCTTTCGTAATCAATCGGGCTGTTGTATAATGTATTGTTTATTCTTTTGCAAGTTCCTTTGTCTACTTTTCGTAGCGTTCTACTCATCTGTACATTAGGTGTGTACATATTTTGCATATTGTGCGAGCAGGCTTTGCTGCGTGGGAAGATTATCATGTTGCGAGAAGGTTATCGTGTTGCCTCCAATTTATTAATTATGCGTCACGAGAAACGCGAGAGATGCGATCTAAACACGATCTACATACGTTTCAGATTTTACCGCATATCGAACATTTTTTTCGAAAGAAAGTCTTCCTTATCGGGACATACATGAAATGTGTTACCGGTAACGTTACCTTACGGTAAACCATATTATGTTACGACATACAAGTAACGGTCATCCACGCCCACTAAAGGTCACCGGAAGTGACGACTGGTATCACCGGCCCGATTGAATCGCCTTCTTAAATCGGACTTTGTGAGTGCAGTTAAAACATACTTTAGAGATTCTCAATCTTTCTTGATTGCATTACTTAAAAATCTTCCTTCTTAATAATGAAAAAAAATCTCCAGAAAGTATGTTAATTTTAAGAAAGAGACAGATATTTTTTTTTAATCAAGACAGACTGATTTTTTAATCAAGAGCGAATGTATTGGATATTCCTGGCGATAAATTAATTTTTTAATTTTCTGTAATAATTCATGGGCTTTTGTAAATTTTTTCGATTGTAATAAATAAACTTTTTCAAAGAATGCTAAGCATTGCGTTAAGTTGCAAAAGTCGATAATCTTCAAAAGTGTGGTATGCCGAAACAGCAGGCTTTCATTTCCTCATGCGTGCTATTAGAATGCTCGCCTCGAGCCGATTTATTATTGAATAAATCGTCACTCGAGAAAAACTATGCATCGATGTCGACCGCAGCGCAATGCAATAAGAGGAAGAGTTAATTAAAAAATGCAATTACCCACCGCGATGGCGTGAAATTCCGAGCAGGAAATTTTCTTTGTTTTTTTGCAGAATGTTGTTCCTTCTCTCATTAATGCGCATTGTTTCAACGAAAATAAAATGAGATCACATATTGTGCGTATTAACGATATAGAGCCTTAAAAAAATGTAAGCTACATTTTAAGCAAGACTTGCATCATTAGTCTCGTGCGACTTAATTATACTAATTTGTCGTAACGTCGTAATGTTTCAAAGTACGAAATTTCAATTAAACTAG